GGAGTATATGTAGGGTATTTTACTTGTATGTTTTTATACTTGTTTAAATTCTTGATTTTCAATTTATGGTTCTATGAATTTGTTTGTAGTTGAAAAGAAAATTTTTGATTATTAATAAATAAACTTTCAATTTTAAAACATTAAAATACTTTTATTTAAAAATAAACTTAAATATAAATATATGGAGTATATGTAGGGTATTTTACTTGTGTAAGTTTTTATACTTGTTTAAATTCTTGATTTTCAATTTATGGTTCTATGAATTTGTTTATAGTTGAAAAGAAAATTTTTGATTATTAATAAATAAACTTTCAATCATTGTATAGGCTTACAAGTATGGAAAGCGCCATTTTGTTTGTTTACATTTGAAAACAGCTGAGATCACCTGATTTTCAATTCTCTCATTCTCCGCACAGAGTTACATTCAAGTTTCAGAAAAAACTTTAAAATGTAAATTGAGAAATATTTTAGAAAAATGTGTTTTTATTCATTTGAATTCAATAAAAAAGAAATTAAAAATGCATGCCAAGTCTTGCATTTCCAATAATAACGATAAATGTGTATGTTCCAGGCAATAATTTAAAATATTTGCGAAACTTATCGTTTTGCGCTAAAATACAACAATGTGTGTAAAATTCGTTGTCATTGCTTCGGTTTTGAATATCATATTCGTGCCTGCCGGTGGAAAAAATAGGTAAATTTGCATTTGTTTTCAAGAAAACATATCAGTTAAAATATATTTCTTTCCAGAACGACATACGGACAAGTAAGATGATAAATTTGTATGATGAATATCGCGAAAAAACTTTTGCATCAAAATTTCTATTCTAATTTGCATTTGAATTATGATATCAACAGGGATGCTTTGGGACGTATTTTTTGAAGACAATTTTCTTATAAATCTTGAGATTGTTGATTTATTTTAGAATTAAAAAAGGTAGTTAATATTAAAAAATATATTTACACTAGCAGTATGTAAATTACTTTTATTACGCAGTCATCGACTAACTCTTAAACTATTCGGACGTGTTCATACAAGTGTTCTTAGCTCGCGTAATAACAATACCAAATAACCCGTTATCATATTTCGCTTTTGTGCACTTTAGTGGAGCATCAGCATAACAACCACTTTGTAAACAAGGAACCGCTACAACATACCAACAAACAACAAAATGCCAACACAACCAGAGCCACCTGACAAATCAACAAACAGATTTGCAATACTAAGCCAATTTGACGACACCGATTACACATTTCCCACACTTACACGTAAACAAACACCACTTAACCAACCCAAATACATAACAATTACAGCAGCCAACAATGAACTACAAAAACTAAGCCCATTCGTAATAAAAAGAGCAATAGACTCAATATCAACTCAAATAGAAAACGTAAAGCAACTCAAAGACGGATCATTGCTTATACTGACACGTAACTCAAGAGTAGCTGAGCGGTTTTTAAAAGTGAAAACACTCGGTAATCTATGCCCAGTGACAGTCAAATACCAAGACAATCTAAACACAATAAAAGGAGTAATTTATGCGCCCTGCCTAAATTTTGTAAGCGACGAGGAAATCATACAAGAATTAAAAAGGCAAGGCGTAAGAAACGTATACAAATTCACACGCACATTTGAAGGCAAAGCAACTCCTACTGGAAAAATTGTATTATCTTTCGATCTTTACCACCGACCCAAAGACATTGATATAGCATGGTACAAAGTTAAAGTCACACCGTACTACCCTACCCCTATGCGTTGCAAAAACTGCCAGCTCTTGCGGCATACAAAAACACGGTGTACTAATCCTGCCACGTGTGAAGGCTGCAACCTTCCACCTCACTCCCCAACTGACTGTTCGCGCAAACAATGCGCAAATTGTGGCAACAACCACGCATCATCAGACAAAGATTGCCCTAGATTCAAACAAACCCAAGAAATCCTAAAAAATAAAGACAACTGCTAAATGCTCAATGGGAGAAGCACGTCGTAAATACAATGAAAAAAACGAACCACAAAGAATCCCAAAACATACTTACTTAGACATCACCAAAGGAAACAAACCAACATCCACCAACAAGCCACCACCAACGCCTCCAACAGAAACCACAAGCATTGCTAAACGCCCCGCTTCATCCCCACCGACTAAAATTAATCAAAACAAATTACAAAAAACCCAAATATCGCCCAAAAAACTAACCTAAGCAGCACTAGTAACAAAACAAAAATTAAAACATCCATTTCAAACAAACTCTGATCACTATGATAATTCACAAACCTCAACTTCACAACTCTCCAACAACTTACCTGAAAACAATAATACTATTTCACCATGCACCAAAATAACTCAACAGCTACTAAATAAAAATGAATATTATATGGCCCTTTCTGACTCCGAAGAAGAACCTAAATTATAATTAATCAATAAACAAATAACGGCAAATAACAAATAAATACAACAAAGCATATAAACTAATAAATAAAACATGAATTTCAAAATATTACAGTGGAATATAAAAGGATTCTTTAACAACATCAATGAGCTTAACCTCTTAATTAAAGAAGAAAATCCACCCTTCATATCACTGCAAGAAACACATTGCAAACACAACTTCAACCCATATCCCCCAAAAGGATACTTAAGCCATTTTCTAAACTCATCAACAATTACAACAGCCAAACAAGGAATAAGGGTGCTTATTAAAGCTAATATTCCCCACAAAATAATTTCATTAAACACCGACCTACAAATAATAGCGATCGAAGTCAACCTTAATATAAAATTTACAATAATATCATGCTATCTTCCACCAAACTTACAGATTCCTACCAAAGAAATAATCGATACACTCGCCTTAATTCAAACACCAATAATCTTTTTAGGAGATTTTAACAGCTGGAATCCTTTGTGGGGTTCCCCAACATACAACAATCGAGGCAAAATAATAGAACACATAATCAACCAATCAGACCTTTACTTAATAAACGACGGTAGACCAACCCACTTTTCAACGCACGGGACACTGACCCATGTAGACATTACATGCTGCTCAGCTAGCTTGCTCCCGATCATCAAATGGAATATCTTAGAGGATCTTTATCACAGCGACCATTTCCCGATAATCACCACAATCAATTTGACACACAACACCGAAAAACACCACACTGAAAAGAAATTTCTACTCAACTTTGCTGATTGGGCAAAATTCAGTCAATCCGTCGAAGAGGAACTTTCGGAGAGACCGATTTCTGTAAACATTAATCAAGAAGCAAATAATATTACAAAGGCAATTCGTGTAGCAGCCAACCTTTGGATCCCTGAATCCTCTCAGAAGACCAGAACCCATGTCCCCTGGTGGAACCAGACTTTAGCAAATCTCCGCAACCAAAAAATGACAGCATGTCATCTTTTTCGAAAATCTCCAACAGAACAGAATCTTCTTGAATACAAAAAACGTAATGCTATCTTCCGCAGGGAAATGAAGCAAACAAAAAATCTAGCTTCGAAAATTTTGCAAAAAGCATAAACATAAACTCATCATCGCAGGAATTATGGAACAAAGTGCGGAGGCTAACAAATCAAAATACACAAACGTCAATAGCAGCAATTCAAACACCACAAGGAACAACAACGGAAACGCGAACAATATAGCCCACCTCTTTGCTCACAACTGGTCTCAATGCTCGAACGACAACAATTTTCCTAATCAATTCAACCATGCAAAAAAATCAAATATAGCGCCAAACCAAACAACTAATCCAACAGCATTGAAAATGGAAGTGCATATTTCCATGGATGAAATGTATTCCACCCTAAAAAGTACTAAAGGAAAAACACCAGGTTTTGATCGCATCTCATACAGCATGATTAAACACTTGAACTTATCCACAAAAACGAGACTTTTGACACTGTACAATAATATTTTCCAATCAGGCATTATTCCCCACAACTGGAAAGCGGCAACCATCATCCCTATGCCAAAACCTCAGAAAGACCTCAACCTTCTCGGATCCTACAGACCCATCTCGCTAATTTCGTGCCTGTCGAAATTAGTAGAGAAAATAGTCGCGACACGTCTAGTCTGGTTTATAGAGGCAAAAAGGCTCATCTCATCCAACCAGGTCGGTTTTCGACCAGGAAGAGGATGTACGGATGCCCTGCCACACATCGACTACAATGTAGCAAAAACGCTATCAGCCCATAACCACATTTCAATATTATCACTAGACTTCGAAAAAGCCTTCGACAGAATAGGAGCTCACGTCATTCTAGAGAAGCTACATCAGTGGGGAGTTGGACCCAAGATCTTAAATTTTGTAAAATCATTCCTCCAAAATAGAAAAATCCGAGTCAGGGTAAACGGTATTTACTCCAAATTATATCCTTTAACGAATGGTATTCCCCAAGGATCACCGCTTTCAGTACTCCTCTTTTCAATCGCGTTTAACGAAATAAGCACTATAATACAGAAACACAAGCTTGTTAACCACTGTATCTATGCCGACGATTTATTTATACTGTGCAACGAAAAGAACAATAGCGAGTCAAATAAAATTTTAAGAAATATTCTGAAAGAAATTGATGACTGGACCTTAAGATCAGGTGCGAAAATTTCCCTCGAAAAAACAAAAAAACTTCATATTTGTAAAAAACTAAAATGCGATTCCAATAGTCACTCAATAGAATTGAAGCAACAAACTATCGAGAATGTGGATGAACTGCGAATACTAGGTTTAATATTCACAAAAAAACTACACATGGAAACGGCATCTTTTAAAACTAAAGAGGGATCTACTCTCCAGACTTAGTTTAATATCGTATTTGTCATATAAAGGATATGTCCACATAAACACACTCATACACATCACAAAAACTATAATCCTGGCCAAAATCGATTACGGACTTTGCTTATACGGATCCGCTCCGAAAACAACTCTAAACATTATAAAGCCAATGTACCACAAGGCGATCAGAACCAGCCTATTCGCTTTTCGCACCACCACGACAAATAACCTCTTCATTGAATCTGGCTTGCCCACACTAGAGAAACATATACAGAATGTCAACACTAGCTTAATACCAAAAGTTTTATTTTTAAATACATCTATAATATCCGAAGACGTAAAAAAACTGGTACTATCCAAACGAACATTCAATGTTACTCCTTCACTGCTCCGAATTATCAAACTATGCAACAAGTACAACTTGGAAGTAAAACCACATAGACTACGAAGTTACAACCCACCGTGGACTCTTGACAGCCAATGTTGCGATATAACACTATACACCCACAAAAAAGATAACACCCCAAATTCAATATTCAAACAAATCTTCCTCGAAAAGGCGAACACTTACAATAAGAGCGGCTGGCAAATTATCTTTACTGATGGGTCTAAAACACAAAATAGCGTTGCTTTCAGTATAACATCGGAAACAGGCTCCTGCATTAGCATGAAATCAATGTTCCCTTTCTCTTCAGTCTTCTCGGCAGAAGCAGCAGCTATACACGAAGCTATAGTATTTTCCCTTCACAAAAAAACCAAAACTGTGATATGTTCAGACAGTCTATCGGTGTTACAAGCAGTTAGAAATCCAATCTGTAACAATTGGGAAACAATTAATCAAATAAGAGATATGTTAATAAAAAACAAGAAAACGCTTAAGCTCCTATGGGTTCCAGGACACGCAGAAATTGACGGTAACACCTACGCCGATGAAGCTGCAAAATTTGCTCGCAATGCACCAATAATACGCACCCCAAAAATCGAAAAGCTTGACATAAAACGCCATATCAAAACGCTTATAATACACGAAACACGCCAACTGCGTAGCAGCCACAAACATTATCACTATACTAACATTAACAAAGATGGAACTCCTCCACAATACCCAACAAATATACATGGTTTCAAAACCAGAATCTTTTCACGATTGCGTCTCGGGCACACCACACAAACCCACGAATATATTTTGAAAAAGGAAAATCAACCAATCTGCATCACCTGTAACACACTCCAAACATTAGACCACATCCTCAACAATTGCCAAAAATTTTACAACACAAAAAAAGCAATATTTAACACAGAGAATATAAACGACGTCCTAGCTACCCCTAGCTTTGCTAATATTGAAAAAATCGGCAAATTTATCAAAGATATAGAAATGACAATCTAATAAACACAACCTTAAACAACAGTCAATTCAGAGCTGATGGTCTCGGCAGCCAATGCTCAAATAGATCATTTAGTGCTGGTATTCATACCAGCATCTAAATAATAATAATAAATACTTTTATTACGAATTGAAACGATTTTAATGAATATTCATGGTTACCATTAATAGTAGTATGAGAGTTAGATCTAAATGCATATTTGACAAGAAAGATAGAATACAAGATTGCGCCGTCCTGGCGGCGATGACATATCTGTACAAAAAGTAATAAAAGTCGAATTGGATGTTGAAAGAAAATGTGAGAACAGCAAATTTTCTTAATAATAAATTTTTCGATAAGGAACGTGTTTTGATTGTGCTAATTTGTAATAGCCTTATTCATAAACAATAAAGTAGCTTAAAAAAGGCTTATGAATTGAAAAATGCTTGTAAACGGAAATTTAAAAAGCTTTTTAAAATTTTTATTTTTTATTAATAAGGCAATAAAAATATATGATTTACAATAACTTTTAACAAAGGAAATACGAAATAAGGTGATTTTTGCGGAAGTGGGTATTAGTGAATTTCAGTGCATTTAAAGTTTCGCTTACTTTTAGATCAGAATTGTCAAAATTGAGAAATTCAAAGTAGCAATACAATAATCATCGAAAAGAAGATTGCGCCCTGCTGTGATGATGAGTAAATTTACCACAATGAGGAAGAATATAACAATTAAGTGAAAAAATTTTATTTTTACAAATTTAGTGAGCAGTAACGTGTTTCAAGAACGATATTTCAGACAAATTGTTAATGAACAATTATTTTTCCTTCCCGTCTGCTTTGGTTTTGGCAAAAAGTCATTTCAACCATTAAATAATATTATTTGCAAGAAGCGTTCACTAAAATTGTAACTAACTTTTTATTATTTATTAATTCCTTTTTGATTTTCAGCAATAACAAGATGGAAAAAAAATTATAAACCAAAATTAGTAATATTTTTATGGATGTAGTTATAAAAGTTCACAGAGGAAACGCCGGAAAACAATGTATTGGCAACAACATAAAATGTATGGCAATTTAGATGTCAACAGAATAATAACTACGATAAAAAAGCATAAGAGAAGTGTGCGAAAAACAAATTTCTTATAAAATATTTTGATTTTTGCTGGGTGTAAATGAAAACTCAATGAGTATTAAGGGAAAGAAAAATTTAAAATAATAAACAGAAAAAAGATGGGTGCACCAAAACTTGAGTTAAATGTTTTTCCCAAATTCTTAAAAAGTAAACAAATCGATTTTTTTAATGTTACTTTACATCTATTTTCTTTTTTATGAATAAGGCCATAAGCATGTACCCTTTTTATAAATACATCTTATAGCAATATGCTATATATTTATTTATACACTTTTTGGCTGGCGAAATATGTAATTTTTCAACTTAATAAAAAAGGGTATTCAACCACATTACTTTTTTTTTAATATTGAATGGCGCAACACAACAACTCTTTTTGTTGCACGAAACCCTTGAACACGTGCCTGTCATCTATTTCTTCTGTTTCGACATTTCGGTATTTTGCATTTCTTTCATTTTGACGTCATTCGCATTGTCAGATTTTTGAAATTCGTTTTGGTTCGACATTCTGCTATTTCATAATTCTTTCATTGTCATGTCATCCATCTTCCATTTCTTACCTTCCATTGCCGTTCGCATCGTCGAAGGTGCCTGTCAAACACTGCCGCCATCATACTTTTCAGTTTGGCAGACACGTCCGCTGTTAGAAAGAGAATAGACAAAAAGGGGCATAGGATTCCATACTTGTAAGTATATACGATGCTTTCAATATATAAACATTAAAATACTTTTATTTAAAAATAAACTTAAATATATATATATTCTACAAATTGGCAGGATCGCCAATTTATAGGATATACATATATTTATATTTAAGTTTATTTTTAAATAAAAGTATGTTAATGTTTTAAAATTGAAAGTTTATTTATTAATAATCAAAAATTTTCTTTTCAACTACAAACAAATTCATAGAACCATAAATTGAAAATCAAGAATTTAAACAAGTATAAAAACATTCAAGTAAAATACCCTACACTGTCACGACCTCTTAACCCCAACTGTGTAGCGACGCTCTCTTCCAGTAACGACACGGAAGACCTCTCGTCAAACATGGCATATACCTTTATACTGCCATGCGGGCCGGACAACATAACAGGCAATATTTTAAACAAGCTGGCTTCAGTTTAGGACGCGTTCCCGATCGGAAGTTGGCTCTGACAACGTACGGCAATCTTGGTGCATCAGCTGATGGCAACTGGTTATGACGTGAGACTGTTTGCAACACAGGCATACGCGCTGCTCCTCACTACTGTGTAGAACTCGACGAACTGGACCTCCGCTCGACCCAGACTGACGATTGGCGTTTGTACTTTGTCGCGACAATGGAAACGGTGGTTGGCTAAAACGCAGCGATATGTCAGCGACGTCAGGCATTATGGACACAACTTTGGCCAAGTCACTCAGCCAATCAGCAAAGTTCCCAACAGTAGGAAACGGCGAGATACTGGCGGCATGTTTGCTCCATTCGAATTGCTTCGACGGCGGCAGCTTCGAGATTAGCTGTTCGAGAAGTGTTGGGTTCATGAGGTGGTGCTCACATCTTGCTGATTTGAAGAAGGCTGAAATGTTACGAGCCCGGTTCGAAAATTCCAGAACCTGGTCTAGCCGATTGTCATGGATTGCGGGAAACTGTTGCACCTTTTGTAGTTGCGCACAGATTAATAAATCGTGCCGGCCAAAATTGAACTCCAGCTCCTTCATAACTTTAGGCACGTCCTCAGGGTATATTAGCATAGACACAACCGCCCGTTTGGCATTGCCTTGCAGCGCTTTCTGCAACCGCATGAGGTTTTGCCTATTGTTATAGCCGAACTCGCCGTAGTGTCCACATAATTTTCAAAAAATAATGGCCAATCTTCCGGACTACCATCGAAGGTTGGCGGAGGATGTAGCTTGGCGGCTGAACCCTCTATAAATTGCGATGCATTCGTTGACAGCAACACTAGCGGCTGTACTACAGGCAATTGTTGTACTGCTTGAGGAAGCTGTGGACGTGGCGGCTGTACCTCGGAAGTTGGTGCGGTGGCATTGGCTGAATCCATTTCCATTCGCTGCAGATATGCCGAGCTGTCGGGCATAGTAACCATGGACGCATCTATGTCAGCTACTGGTTGAATTGTTCAACCACAACCTCCTATGCCTGAAGAACTGGTTCACAATCCATTTAATGCAATAACAGTTTCTTCCAAGCCATTGAAAACATGCGCTTTGTTAGGTCCACCACCTGTTGCGCTTGCTTCTGCCTTCGGCCGCGCTTAGGGATTATAACCCTTACTAAGTAGAATTCTCCTCTCTTTGTTGTCGAAGAAGAGGGGCTTCCGCATGTCAAAGCTATACAACATTTTTGTGCATATCACTCCGGCTACGCCATCCACTGTATTTTTGCGCAGAACCCACATCGAAATTTGCCAAAAAAAAGTGCATAGTGCAAAACGAATTTATTAATAAGCTAGTGGTCGTAAATTTGAAACATTTATTTTAAATAAAAGCTCAATCCTTTGATTTTTTGATTCGGGTTATGCGTTTGGACACAACAACCGAAAATCATTTAACAAATAACCAAAACGGACCCAAGTTTCTCGATAAGGGGCAACAAAGATTCTTTTTTGCTTCTTTATATAAAGCAGTGGATAAAAATATAGGTATATGCGAAAGGCAAATTTATCTGTTTAAATGAACACCACTAATATTTCCTGCAAACGCACATCGATTTACATCTTTTATCTCGCCTCCGAGACAGAATTGCTTTCGTACAAAATTACGCAAAAAAGCTTACTCGTTCGTTTTTAGGCATGCCTTCTTCTTCTTCTTTTTTTTTGGCGCTGTAACCGCCTAAGCGATTTTGGCCGAGTTCAGCAAAGCACGCCAGTCGTTTCTCCTCTGTGCCAACTGAGGCCAAGTGAAGCCAAGTCCTTCTCCACCTGATCTTTCCATCGCAGTGGGGGCCTCCCTCTTCCTCTGCTACCACTAGCGGGTTCCGAGTTGAATACTTTCAGAGCTGGAGCGTCGGTGTCCATTCGAACGACATGACCAAGCCAGCGGAGCCGCTGTATTTTAATTCGCTGCACTATGTCCATATCGTTGTAAAGCTCATACAGCTCATCGTTCCATCGTCTGCGCTACTCGCCGTCGCCAACGCGTAAAGGCCCGTAAATCTTCCGCAAAATCTTTCTCTCAAACACTCCAAGAGCTTCCTCATCGGATGTTGTCATTGTCCATGCTTCTGCGCCATATACCAGCACGGGCATGATGAGTGACTTATAGAGCGCGGTTTTCGTACGTCGAGAGAGGACTTTACTCCTGAATTGCCTACTCAGTCCAAAGTAGCACTTGTTGGCAAGAGTGATTCTACGTTGGATTTCAATGCTGACATTATTATCGGTGTTAATGCTGGTTCCCAAGTAAACGAAATTCTCTACTTTCTCGCAATTGTAACTGTCAACAGTGACGTGGGTGCCAAGGCGCGAATGTGCTGACTGTTTGTTTGATGACAGGAGATACTTCGTCTTGTCCTCGTTTACCACCAGACCCATTCGCTTTGCTTCTCTATCCAACTTGGAAAAGGCAGAACAGACTTCGCGGTTTTTGTTAGCGATGATGTCGATGTTTTAGGCATGCCATTGTTACGAATTTCGAAAGTTCGAAAATACGATTCGGATTGCAGCATACTATTTCTACGATTCGTAGCAAAATCTGGATACGAAAGAGTTGCAGAATATGGGTGTCAGTCATAGATTACCATTCGTGGCAAACGGTTGCGTTTTCGACAGAGTTCGCTTTGTGTCGATTTTCTTAGTGCAGTTACATTTTCCAACACTTATTACCTTGCGTTCTTTATTCTTTAATTTTGTTTGCTTAAAAGTTACCCACGTGCGTGATTTAGTAGTGAAATTTAACCTCCAAAATGCCCTCTGGGGCTGATAAGCCGGGGGACAACAGGTTCGCTTCTTTTGCGGCCAGTCCCAAACGCAAAAAGAAACGCCCTATGAAAGCATTTAGTGAATTCCCAGACCTTCCGGATATTAGCAAATCAACACCCAATACCAAATACATTATCATGT